GTTTTAGGGTAACAAGGGATTGAGCTCTAATAACACGCGAAAGAATTGGTTAGATTGATATTAAGGACGGTTAACGTAAAGAAGGACTTCGAATCATAATAAGGAGATTAAAGGAAATCGAACCCCTAACTACGTTTTTATTTTATTAGTTAAATCACATCTTTAATTTCTTGTCTTTAATTCTTGCAAGTAATTAGCTTAATATTTAATATTTTAATTTTGCAATTCAAATCCTGTTTCCAAATACACTTTCGATTGTCCAACTAAGTTTGCGATAGTGAATTAGTGCTTGAACTGTAATCCTCGTGGGAACGATCTCTTACTTAATCATATATTACTTGTACGATCGGTGCACTTGCCGTGAGTAGCAACAATTGGTTTACCAGTTTTCGGGTCGACGCGGCCGGGTCGGTCCGGGTTTAATAACACTAGTATTAAGAGTTAAATTGAGCAAGTAATGAATTTAAATTCGGTAAAAACACATGAAAATTGTGATTTAATTGTTGATTCAATTTAAGGAATATTTTCATGAAATTATTGTGTTTTATAGAAAATTTTCTGATTAAAGAATACGAAGTTTAGAGAGCCAAAGAGAGTTACAGACAAATGATTCCATTTCTTTTAGTTGGCGCTAAAAGTGTTAAAATACACTAAAGTTGGCGCTAATAGCGCCAATAAAGCCTAGTCTTCGATTGTGGCACTTAAAGCATGATGGCGCTAAAAATGCTAGTCTCAAATCCAAAAATTGTTGTTCTTTGTTTGATGCGCTAAAAGCGTCCATCCCTCACACATGGTGGTGCCAAATGCCCCAAGTTCCAGCAAATTCAGTGCCCTCTCACAACATAGCGCTTTTAGTTTGCGCGCCACTCTTGCCACTTCCTCAAGTTTGATTTGTTTTGAATTTAATCACAGGAAGATCTAATTGAAGATTCAAATTGGAGACTTTAAAGGATAGTTCTGTTCAAATATAAAATGGAGGATTTTAAGGAAATACGAGGAAGCTGATTAGGATTTGATTGGAAAAATTAAAGGAAACTTTCCTTGATTTAAAAGAAAAGGAGGAACCCTCGAATTCATTCATTCTTGCGCGGGAGAAAGCACAAGACGGGAGAAGCATTTAGAGACCAGAGATTGTGAAGACGATGACTGAAGGGAGATCGAAGCAATAGTGGAGATAACCCAACATTCCTCATCTAGGAATTTATTTTAGTTTTCTTTTCTTTTAGGGGGCGTTTGGTACATCAATTTTATTTGGATTCCAGGGAAAACAACATTGGGAATGGGAAAAAGCCATGTTTGGCACCGAAAAAGTGTCAAGTTTTCTGGGTAAAATATTTTCTGATTTTTTGTTTTTATGTGGCAAATCCTGTACGATCAGCAACCCTGGTTGTCCATGGATAGTGTGGAATTGGTTGTTGCCCGGGGAAGTAAAAAATGAAGCACGAAAAATTGGACCAAAATATCCTTCTTGATTGTACGATCTGTGAATAAATGGTTAAGAGAGGATTGACCTCATAGCTGGTGGAGTGTACCATGTATGAACAAATGGAGTTTGTGAGTTGTGGTTCTGCGATTGCTCCCTCCGTTCTCTATGCTCGTAACTGACAACGAAGGAACAGTACAGAAATAAAGGGAGAGGTTGAGAGAGGTTGCTATCAAAGAAGGTTATCTTTTATTTATTCTATTTTCTGATGAATCTTCTGTTTTACTTCAGTTACATATTTTTAGTTCACTTCCTCTCCAAAATTGTTGTTGTGCGCGCAGGAAGGTTGCACAGACAAGAACCACACTCTCCCACAGCACCGATGATAATCATTCATGGAGGAAGTACGAACAAAGGGTAAAGGTGGGACCCACATTCCCACTAATATTTCATAATCAACCAAACACAAACTCAGTAAAATTAACTTAATTTTTCCGAGAAAATATGAGTCTACCAAACAACTTTTTATTAACATTCCAGTAAAATATATTGCTCACTACACTCCAGTAATAATTATTTCCTGGATATAAAAAAAATTCTCTCGTACCAAACGCCCCCCAGTATTTTGTTTAAATCAGATATGTCTAACTAATTTTTTTATTAGTTAGGGTTATGGATCCGATGATAACTTTGATTTGATTTAAATTGTTTTTCAACAATATCTTTCTCAATTGAAATGTGTTTATCCTGAATTATTTGTTCAATTTCTTGTATGACTTGATCAACCATATAGAAATAAAGAGGGTTGAGTTCTAAGTGAAACACTTGGGATCTTAATCTGGACTAAGATAAATATCAATTTTTGCATGTTTTAGACATAGATATGCAAGAATGACAAACTTGTGAGATTCATTGTGGATAAGACTTATTCTAAAAGGAATTTCTAAAAAATTAGAATTATAATTAGGTTAAGGGGTAAATAACTAAGACATTACGAATTTAACCAATTATTATTTATATAATGAATCGTTTGATAACAAGTGAATTAAAATTTTATTGAATTAATTTAATTCATTTAAGGGGATGAGAGGTGAAGTAAACTTTAACTGTATCTTTGTTCTTAATCTCAAGTTCATCTTTAAATCAATTAAATATTGGTTACCTGTTCAAACCAATTTTGAATTGTCCAACTTAGATAAAAACGGTGAATTATTGCTTGAATTTAGTTCTCATAGGAACGACACTTACTCATCATTTTATTACTTGAAAACGATCGGTATACTTGTCATGTTCGTAACACTTGCATTATGCTGATTTTTGTACAAATCGTATATAAGATGATGTCTAATTTAAACACACACATTCATATTAGATAAATAAAAAATTTCTGAGAAGAATTAAAAGGGTGATATGTTTTATTTTGTTTTTGCATTAAAGCAGTAAACAAAAAAACTGACATACGTTTACTAAAAAAAAAAAAAAAAAAACTGACATACAATCACCTCCGCGTGATGCACATTTTAATATTTTATTATTCATGGTATGTTTCATTGGTGGAGTACCCGTAACGCCCCTTCCCTGTATGTAATAGCGGACTTAGAATTTTTTTTTTAATGTCTGCATACTTAAAATAAAAGAATAAAAGAAAAAAAATTTAAAGAAATTTTAAATATATAAAATACAAAAGAATATAAAAAAACATTAACTTAATATAGAAAAAGTAATCAAGAGTCAACTAAACTGTTACAATAGAACATTTTGGGTCCTCAACAAAAACTACGGGCCTCAATTTAATCTTTTAGGGAAAAAAATTTACTCTGATCACTCAAAATTCAAAAATAGACCCAGATAATTAAAATCATGGTCCTCAAAAATTCAAAAAGATCCATATTAATCCCTCAAAAGAACTACCGTGGGTCTATTTTGGAATTTAAAGTGATCATGAGTTGACTTTTTTTTAAGAGATAAAATTGAGTCATGTAATTTTTTTTTATAACCCAAAATATGTTTTATTTTATTTTTTTTCCAAAAGAATTTGTGTGTGCACTTGCACACACTTGCAAGTACACAGGTCCGCTTCTGCCTATATATAATGACATGATGCATCGATATTGACACAGGACACGACATAACATGTCGATACGTTAATTTTAAAAAATGTCATATTCCGACACGTTGGGACACGTTTTGATATTACATAATATTTTTAATATATATAATATAATTTATATTTAATATATATAACAGCCCATAATAAGTCATATAACTAATCAAATATTCAAATTTTATAATATAAATATAAATATAAATAATTTTTCGTACCTTATTAATTTTCTTGTCAAATTTCATAACAGAGAAAAATTGATTTATAAATTATTTTTCATGTTTAATTAATAAAATAAAATTTAGTTATAAAAAAAATGTGTCGGATGCGTGTCAAAGCGTTGATCGCGTGTCGAAAACAGTTGACTGCGTGTCAAAAAAACGTGTCGAAGTATTCAATGCATGTCCCAAAATATTTATCGCATGTGGAATGTGTGTCAAAAAGTGTCAAAGCATGTCAGTGTACGACACATATTTTTTGAAAAAATCAACGTGTTCGTGCATGTGAGATAATGACAATAGTGAGTTTTGGTCTTTTCATTCATGGTTCAGTTTTGAACTGATTGGCCTCTTTATTATTGACATTCCAATATCATTACCTTCTATGAAGTCCTTTTTTTGTTTTTAGTAATTATAGGATTTACTCATTGCATTTATTCGTGGGAGGCTTGAGTTTTGAGAAATAAGTCATGGATTTATTGTAATAAGTGGCGGACTCAGAAAATTTTGTTTATGTCCGCACATTTAGTAACGGGGGTTCAAGGGCAAGGCCCAGAAATTTTTTTTTGTAAAGAAAGTTTAAATCAATGCTTTATTACAAGGTTATGAACCCGCTCATATTCTAGTTGCTTCCATAACAAGCTGCAGGCAATAGTTTGACCAATCATTCCCCCTCTAAATATTACCAATCCTCCAAAATAAATATGAGAATAAACTCCAGTATATTCATCCATCATCATTCTATTTATAATGGCGAATAAAAAAGTCAACATTACATGTACAGAAGGCAAGCAAAATCACAGTAAATGCTCTTGTATCTAGAGATTAACTTATTTGAGAATGTCACACTTGCAATCAATCCTCTCTTTTTAAGCCAGAATATAGCACCAAAGCTGAAAGTAAACCCCAATAAAAAAAAGGTCACACAGAAAGTAGGACAAGACTCATTATAACTCACATTAAGAAACAAAGAAAAAACCTATAAGCTAAAAAATACCTTCTTGAGAAAAATATTCCTTCAATACATGCAAAAGCAACAAGTCTCTCCGCAAATGAAGTGGAACTGTAGCCCATGCATTACAAGAAGTATTAGAAAACAATATCTATGTTACATTTAGAGGATATAAAAGTCATTCCCTAATTAAACCCGACTACTGAGTCAAAGATATGAAGCAAAAAAGTTAAAGCAACACAATAAAAAATACCAAATAACAGCAAAAATAATAGAAGCTAATACCACGTTGGCAGTAGAAGATTACAAAAGCATTCTTCGATTTTTCATTCTTTGAAAATATTGCATTATATCTTCATCATCAATGTTATCAAATATATCACGTTCAACATAAGTTAGCATGCATGCGTTAAACCAATAATCACTTATCCGATTGCGCAACTTATCCTTAACAAAAGTCATTACAGAAAAAACTCGCTCAACACTAGCAGTTGCTACCGGTAGAACGAGTGCCAGCTTTATCATCAAATAAACCAATGGATAAACAATATCCTTTCTCTTCTCAACCATCTTCAAAGCAAGGTCAGAAATTCTTTTCAAATTGACAAAATCAGAATTAGCTCTTAAAACAACAATAAAATTACCGAGACTTGAATAAAGAAAAGGAATATCTGCAAGCTCATTAAACTCCAAAGGATAAAATCTAGCAAACTCAATCAATTTTTCTTTGTTAAAACTAGCAAATGAATCACGAGGATCAAGACAACTCAAAGGCTCAAGCATCTTGGTATTGACATTATCAAATCGATCACTCAACTCTTGAACCTGAGTATCTATCACTCTATTAAATAACTCCACTTTAAAGTAGTGCAAGAATGTGAATGATTCCAATCTCCGTCTTGATCTCCCTTTAGGATAATAAACATCCTCCGTATTTGGAATGTCAATATCATATTTATTTGCAAAAATGTTCGTTTCTTGAAGCAATTCATCAAAACCATTATCTCTCACCTCTTGTAAATGAGACTCGACAACCTTCACTAAACCAATTGCATTTGAAAGGTCTTGATCTTTTCTTTGTAGTGCTTGTGACAACTCATAAGAAATCCCTAAGATAAGTTGCATAAGATGCAACAAGAATGCAAACTCATAATCAGTTCTTGCAGCATCATTCCTAGGCTCGTCTTCAATAATTTTCATCAAGGAAATTATTGGAGAAAATAATGAGATAATACTTGTAATTGTACCAAAATGGGAACCCCAACGAGTGTCTCCAGGTCGCTTTAAGGTTGTCTCTTGATTTAAACCTTTTCCAGTTGGTATTTCACCGCGAGCAATTCTTTCAACTATATGCTCATATTGATTCATTTGAAGAATTTCCTTCCGCTTGCATGAACCCCCCACAACGGTAACCATCTTTTGAAGCATGTCAAAAAATCCTTGAATCTTTTTGTGATGTTTTGCAACCTTCACAAGTGCCAATTGTAACTGATGAGCAAAACAATGAATGTATAATGCAGATTTATTGTCTGCCAAAATCAAACTCTTAAGCCCTTTGAATTCAACCCTCATATTACTAGCACCATCGTAGCCTTGACCGCAACATTTAGACAAACTTAAACCAAGTTTAGAAAACAACCCATCAATCGCTGTTTTTAGTGATTTTGCAGTAGAACTCTCCTTGATGAATTCATGTAGTCAATATGTTTTAATTCAATTAATGACCTTAACTGAGAACTCTCCTTGATATAATAATTATGGGGTATGAAAACTGAAAAATTGTTAGCCTTCCAGGAAGAGAACTTTCCTTGATATATATTGCAATGACAAAAATTGCATTATGGATTCAAAATTATTTATAGAAACAGTTGTTTATATCACGGTAGATGAAGAGCTTGAGGAGATGTACCTCAAAAAGAGAAACTTAGGTAGATTCTTCCCATGGTTATTCCTACAATTGTAGTATTCAACCAAAACAAAAACTACCCCTACAAAAACACCGAAATGTCCTTGCTTATAATTCCAATGGGTTTCCTTCTCATGAGTGCCGATAAGTAGAAATTGCAGACAACAGGATAAAAACCATTATACACCATTAAAAAAAATGCTCAGTTGATACAAATGGAATTTTTGTCTGATGGCATTTCCATATCCTTCTAGACAATGATTCAGTTGTTCTAATGTGCCAGTTGATACAATCACATGTTCAAGCTATAAATTGTACAGATTTATAACTAGAGAAATTGAAATCATTTTTAGCAAAAAATAAATAAAAATGAAACAAATAATCAATTATACTGAAATAACTTTCTATACGTTTTCACAATTAAATTTTCTCAAATGAGTGCCAAATAAATGCAGATTTCAACCCACATAAAAGAACTTACAGAATAATAATTTGAGCCTTTTATTTTGTAAGCTTTTACTTTTGATGCGGTGCAGATTCCTTCTCCATGATTTTCTTAGAGTTTTTGCAGAAGCAATCATCCATCAAAGCCATTTGCTTGCCCTCTTTGTGGGCACATGTTTGATTATTTAAAAAAGGAAGCTTATAAGCAGAATTCAATTAAAAATGGAAACTGAAATCCACCACCCAAAAGAAAAAATTGAAGTAACCTGCAAACGCTTTGACCAAATCATCTTCCGCCTCCCTCAATTTAACATTAATCTCTTCTGGTTGAATAGGGAGGAAAGAAAGAAAAAAATTGAGTGAGAGAGTGTAGGTGAGAGAGACTCAGCTGATGAAGCGAAAGTAAAGAGAGAAAAAAAAAAAAAATCTAAAATTGAAATTTCTATGTCCGCACGTGCGGTCATTTGACCCCACGTGGGTCCGCCCCTTGTAATCAACAACAGAGGAAATAAACATTTAAACCTATGTATGCTTTTGTCCTTTTTCGGAATTATCTATGTAGTTCTGATGATTTGAGAATGTCTCATAAAAAATAAAATATAAATAATATCATTTACACATTTTTTATTCGAATTATATATTTTATGTAATAGATATTTATTTATTTTAATCTGTATGCATCTAACATTTCTGATTAAACGACCATTTTAATGCATTTAAAAAATGAATAATGAATTATCAATGTGCAACTAATTAATATTAGTCATGGTTAAATTGTGATTATTTTTGTTTAAAAATTACAGTAAACCTCCAACTGTAAGTGCATACGACACGTGACTGTCACATATGAGAGGCACGTAAGACTTATTATAATAGATTGGCATTATGTTTAAAAATTTATTGGTGAAGAAATTTTAAAAAAAGAAATTTGCATGAACAAAAGTCGTTTATGATGCACACAGTTACCTCATTTCACATAACCCAACCATTGATTTATGAAACTTTAAGTCAATCAGAATTTTGATCCAATAAGTTTGACTCAATAAGTATGACTCAATTATTTAAAATATCAAATTACGATCAAACCAAGTCCCAAAGAAGTAGCAGATATGATTGTGATTTGTTTGAAAAAAAAGAAAAATAACACATTTGACATGATTTGAGATTTATGATTTATGATGTGTTTTGAATGATGGGTTCGCTTTTGCTGCAGTTACTGCAGATAAGTTATCTGCAGTAAGTCCAATACGACGTTGTTTTGGACAGAAATCATGGTGTTTTTATAATTTTAATTTATTTCAGGATTATTATAGTCTTTATAATTATAATTTTTTAATCTTTCAATCCTAAAACGACGTCATTTTTGAAGTAAATGTAGATAACTTATCGCATTAACTGCAGAAATATTTTTCTGTTGAATGACTTAATTTTAATTAATTAATTATTTATTTTTAGAATTTAATTACTGTTATATTTATTTTTTCTTATTTTTTCTGTTTAGCCACTTTCTATGCGCTTTCGGCATCATTCAGTATTAGAGCACTAGGTTGTCTTCAACCAGTGGCTGAACAGAATTGTAGAGGTTGCCGATGGCGGAGTCGTGATGGCAATGGACTTGGATTTGTTCCTAAAGAAGACAATAACTCTATCAGATAGATCCGCGTGACATAGAAAATGCAGAGTTCTGAAGGCGGATCCGGGATTTGAAGCAACAACTTGAGTAAGCATTGGAAAAGAAAATGCAAGTTTTAGAGCGACTACTTGTGCGGGCGCAGAGAAAGAAAATTCAAGATTTTGAGCAACAACTCGTGTGGGCTCATACTGAGAAAATCCAATTTTTGAAGCGACATTGTAGAGGCACAAAGCATAAAAACCCAAGATTTTGGGCGACGACTTACGCGGACAAAGTTGGGCATTAAATCCTAGAAGGAATGAAATTAGAGGTAGGGGTGTTCATCAACCAATTCAAACCGCGGCGATCGAACCGAAAAATCGAAATCCGAATAAATCGAAAATCGATAACCAAAAAAAAAATCGTAAATTTTAATTGGATGAGATCGGTTTTCGATTTGGTTGATGAAAATCGATCTGATCCAATATATTAACTCCCCTCTACCTACTTGAGTATTTCCCCAATCATAGCCCAAAAAATTCTAAACTCAAGACCCATTAACCCATCAACTAAACCCAAGAAAAAAACTAGCAAAATTTCATCTATATAGAGCTTCATATCTCATTGCCAAAAAAAAAAACTCTATTATCGTTTACTGATGCTTCTGTATTTCAAAAAAAAAAAAAAGCCTTTACAAAGCTAATATATACACAAGATATGTTATTTGCACAATAATAAATTTTAGGTTTTTCAAAAAATTGAAAATTGATCTAATCCAAACCGAAAAAAATTGGATTGAATCGGGTTGAATTTAAAAAAAAAATCCAAACCGATTTTAAAAAAAATCCAACCGAATGGATGATTACCTGATCAAACCGAAACGATTGGATCAGATAGCTTTTACTTCCAAAATCAAATCCAATCCAGACCGCAAACACCCTTAATTAGAGGACGCATCTAATGTTGAAGAGAAGGACGTTAAACCTTTGGAGATTTTAAATTAGGGACAAATTTAGGAAGAATGACTTGAAAATCAGTCCACTTTTCAAGATATCGAGATGTAAATCAACATTCTTGACTTTTATGTCTACGATCATAACACAATTTATGATGATAATTCAATTTGTGATGATTATCCCATTTATAATGATTATCCATCTTATAATGAAAATTCAAATTATGATGTGTTGTAAATAGTAATTATGTAGTCATTTATTAGTAATTATGTAGTCATTTATTTGTATTTATTTAGTCCGTTACTTGTATATTGGGCCAAGCCCATTAGGTCAAAATTAGGTCAAGAAGTCTCTATAAATAGAGACCCCTATGTACAGATTCAAATACAAATCAATAATATTTCATAACCCTTTTTCAAGTTGGTATCAAAGCTCTCGATCCTGACTCTGCTTCTGCGCCTATTGTCTTTTTTTTTTTACAAAACCCTAATTTCTTTGCCTCTTGCCGCTATCAGCCGCCACCGGAAAAATTTTTCGGGGCCCTTTTGGACCAAGGGGACCACTGTTGACCTTCTTTTTTTTCGTTCTATCATTCTACGCAACGTTCCTCCGCCACAAACGACCCAAACACCTCCGACCGCCTTCAACTTGTTCTGTCTTCACCGTTTAGAACCCTTTCTGGTGGCTTTTCAACCGCAACCACCCACAGACAGGTGCGCACTCACTGGACGACCACACCAGAAATATTTCAGTCGGAGAAGCCTTGCCACGCGCTCTCACGCGCCGCCTCTTTGTCCGAGAGTAAAGCCCACGCGCAGCTGCTTTCTCCGGCGCGTGGAGGCGCGTCCGGCGGTGTTTCTGGACTGGACCACCACCATTCTTCTCGTCTCCTTGTTCTCTTTCTGGATCTGTGTTGTTTTCTCAGATCGGACATCGTTTGGTATTTTTTCCGAATTTTTTGGCTTCTTAGAGCCTTTTTCGTTGACTGTTTTTTGTACAGTATGGCCTCTTCTCAAAGGAGTTCCTTTACAAAGTTTTATGATGGTGCATCTTCTAAACCTAAGAGAGATGATCGATGGTGTTCTTATTGTAAAAGAACAGGTCATATCAAGGATTTATGCTTTCGCCTCCATGGAAAGCAAACTGTCTTAGAAAAGATGGCAAGGATGCGTGGTCAAGCGCATTTTACTTCCTTTGGAATAACTCCTGCACCTAATGAGACCCAACCTGCATTTCATCTAGATGAGTTAGAACGGCTCCGAACCATCCTTGATTATTTGAGTAAGCCATCTGATACCAGTGCTTTGGCTTTGACTGGTATGAGCCCCAAAACTCATTCTTTCCTTTCTTCATGTAATGATTTTAAACATTCTTGGGTTGTTGATTCTGGTGCTACTGATCATATGGCTTGTTGTGCTGACTCCTTTGCTTCTTATCATCCTACCATTGGAACTCATACTATAGCCATAGCTGATGGCTCACATACACCAGTTGCGGGTTCTGGTGACATAAACTTACAACAGTCCTTACATCTTAAAGATGCTCTTCATGTTCATAAACTCTCCACGAATCTTCTTTCTATTCATAAAATTACAAAAGATCTGAATTGTACTGTAACCTTCTTCCCTACCCATTGTGTTTTTCAGGATCTCGC